CATAGAGTTGACTCGATGTCAGCTGCAAATCCTTTGATAGGAGGCTTTGGTCCATGCCTCACGCATTAGCCCAGGGTTTCTTTTAGGGGATGTTCAGGGGGGGTTCTGTCCGTGCCATGTGTGGTGAGTGAGCGTCAAGGCAACTAAAAGAAGGGCCGGCAAAGGGGGCGCCGTTCCTGAAACCATGAAGGCAGATGTGCTGTCGCCTTCTTTTTTCGATCTGGCTTTGATTAATTGATTCAGGAAAAAATGTCAATGCTCATCTTGCATCCACTGCTGACCAACACAAATGTTGTGTTTTGCACTGATTGAGATGAGATGAGTTGAATGATTTTCCAGGCTTTGGCCAGTGTAGAGTTAGTGGGGTCTCCCCACAAACTGGGCTAAACTCCACAATCCCTCTCCACTGGTGAAGATCTTGGGCTGGACGCCACCCAAGAATCTTGTCTCTGTCTGTCTCTCTCTCACATCTGGTCCAACAGATGACGACCAACCAATTACCAATATCACTCACCACTCTCTAATCTCTGACGTGCGTGGTTTTAATTCCTCATGCCCGGGGACATGCAAGCATGGTTCCATTATCATTTCTGGGGGATCTTCAGCAGATGCTGGGATATTTCTCAGTCTAAGCCAATGCAATATCATCACTTGATCAATATAGAAGATCTCACTCACCTCTTGTTGTTTCTGTGATACCCTTCGCTGTGCAGACTTGACACAAGATGCTGTGCTATCATACCTCTTTAGGCGAGGACGCCGTGGCTTGAAACTTTGATCCTTCTCCCATGCTGTTGGCTTCAGGAGGCGTTGGGTAAATGTATGACTTGCTTACGTCTTCTTTTTATCGGTATCGGCAACATGTCCGTTCTTTCTTCTGCTGTAGGATCTACCACATCAGCAGCTGTGGAGCCCGAACTGGCCTTGCTGGCCCGTAGCCCGTCCTAGCCGTCTTACAGATTTCCCATCCCCATGCATTCCCCGGGACATGGATAAGACATCGACTTTAGGCTTGTCCTTCTTCAGCTCAAGGGTTACAGGGGATCCTCGTCGAGTTCATCGCTTGTCTATTGTACCCTCCCACACCCCATGTCCTAAGCATAAGCGCCAATATCACCACCGTCTGTGTCTGTCTTGCTCTGTCCGTGTTCCTCTTTGGGCATATGCATGCCATGCCATGCCAGGCCATGCCCTCGCCTCTCAGTCTCCCCGCGAGCCATATTACATACAGATCTAGTCCCCCCTCCTTTACATGCTAGCAGGTCTTCCTTTGTGCCGGACTCTTGGTTAGACTAATTATCACTTACTTCTTCCTCAACTACTTTTATCTTGCCTTCCCTCTCGCCCCCCGCCATCATCAACTTGCTCGCCCTCCTCTTTGTTACGATTGTGTATGCAATAGGGATCTGCAGCAGTCTTCTTTATAAACCCAATCACCCTCCCCCTTGGTCACTGCATAGTTTCCTCCTTGCTTGCCACGCTTTGGAATTGCACCTTTGTCCTGAATGTGCAATCATTGCTAGTGTTGGTTGTTGGGTATAAGACAAAACCTAGCCTCGAACGCTTTGGGACTTGACCGTTGCGCATACCAACGCTCCTTCTATCTCGAGGACACCTGACCAACCAACCAACCAACCTTGACCGACAATAAAGCATTGGACTTTACCTACTACTTTCATCCAACAACACCTCATCATAAATATTGAGTAGACGCTGGAAGTATGGTGAACTACCGATAAAACCGACTCTCCATCCCCACCACGGCTCGACGACGAGAACCACCCATTGCTTGGTGATCACCACCAAGACCCAAGTTAACTACCGTCCATCCTCTTGAGTCTCGGTGCTTTCATCATGTCTTCCGCCGAACATCTCTCAGACTCGCAGCTCCGCGCTCTGAGCATCATTGAGCGAACATGCTCTGTCTTCTCATTGCTCGGCTCACTCTTCATTATCGCCACATTCTTGTCATCCAAGGCCTTCCATAAACCCATCAACCGACTAGTCTTTTATGCTTCCTTTGGAAACATGATGACCAATGTCGGCACGTTAATGTCAAGATCATATATAGGCTCACCAAACTCTGTGGGCTGCCAATTCCAGGCCTTCCTCATCCAGATGTAGGCTCACTTATACCATACCGAAGCTCTTGGATACTAACATGCATTAGGTTCATGCCTGCCGATGCCTTCTGGACACTGTCCATGGCCATCAATGTCTACCTGACATTTTATTTCAAGTTCGATGCTCGGAAATTACGAAAGATGGAGATTCCTTATCTCATCGGATGTTACGGTATTCCTTTCGTCCCCGCCTTTGTATACATCTTCATCAAGAACGACGAGGGACACCGAATGTATGGTAATGCCACACTTTGGTGTTGGGTGAGCATGGAGTGGGATATCTGGCGTATCATCACTTTCTACGGACCTGTCTGGTAAGTAATTGTTCTCGTTTGACTTTGGAGTGGGCGCTGACCATCACAGGGTTGTCATTGCCATTACCTTTTTTATCTACATCCGTGCTGGTAGCACCATCTATCGCAAGCGACAGGAGCTTGATGATTTTAGCTCCACCGATCGAGATCTGACTTATGGGGCTGGAGATCATCTGGGAACTATTAAGACCACAGAGGTTTCGGTCACCACAGAGGTCGTTACTCCGAATGCGATTCATCTTCAACCCATGGGGGGTCGCCGAGCACCCGACCCTAGTAACCCTAGCTCTAACGCATACTCGGTCCATATCTCAGCGCAGCCTAGCTCTGGGGATGTTGGGGATGAAGTTCTCCCTATTGAACGACAACAGACACGGGCGAGTGTTCAAGTTCCTGCACCGCAGCAGCAGCGATCGGGAGGTAATCCCGCTCGAAGGAGGAATCGAGAACTCAGCAATGCAGCATGGCAATACACAAAGTGTGCCCTGCTGTTCTTCACAGCCATCTTGATCACATGGGTTCCATCAAGCGCCAACCGTGTGTATTCAGTATTCCACACCAAAAACTCATCTGTACCTCTGGAGTTTATGAGTGCTTTCGTGCTTCCTCTTCAGGGCTTTTGGAATGCTCTCATTTACATGGTTACATCTTGGAGTGCGTGCAAGAACCTGGCTACTGACCTACGTATGGGTCGAAGGCCGGATGTGACAGAACTCGTTGGTGGCATGGCACCAGAGGTCGGGGCCAATAACGCAAGGACAATGACCAGCCATCATCGACACAACCTCGGTCAGTTCCGACGATCGAATAAGTTCGAGACGGAAAGCATGACTGAACTGGCCAACGAGAGTCGGCCAACTTCGGACGATGAGCGGAGAGACAACGTGCGTGTATAACAGTTCTAAGGGTCTGCTTGGAAACGATGTTGCAGATACCCCTTTTCTTTTGTTACTATATATAATGAAGACACGACTTTGATGGTCAAGGCGTGCTCCAGACAGCTAGGCGAGTTTTGTTGGGAGACATTTGTTGGTTTCACCAGCGTCGAAAGATGGAGGAGAACGGATACCCCAGTATTGTTACAAATAGTATTTAAATGCTGATCAAAGTCTGAGAGCCATTTAAGTGATTTTACTACAGATCGAATTTGTCGCCTTTCCCATCTTGTGATACAGCACTGTGTTTCAAAAACTAATATCTGCCACGCGAATATGAATCAACCTTATTTTAAGCTTGATAATCAGTTACTCAACACACGTGGCTGGAGTGTGACTTCCTCATGTCGAGAGCGGAACACGAGGTAAGGTAAAGCTAGTTTAGCACCTGCAAGGACAGGATGGCTTGATATCCATGTCTCGACGATGCATTCCCGGTCGTCCGGAGGAAGCACTGGCAGGTTTGACTCTGGAACACACTCACGCAATCAGATTGACAGGTGATGCGAAATCTGGGGTTCTAATGGACGATGCCGTCAAGGATGTGACATGGGGGCTTGAGTTAAGGTCCCTTTGATATCGACAGTGGCTTGCCAAGGGTGGCCTTGGGGAGAGAGAAAACTCATGACAGTAAATCAAGAAGCTGGAAGAAAGTGACCCAAAGGCCCTCTAAGATATCTTAAACTGACCAAAGTCATTTCATCACTTAGAAAAGAGACCCTAAGATTTCCTGCCTACCCCAAGGGTGGGCTTGCCGTCTCGACGACTCATCAGCCGTATCTTTGTTCTGTGATGTACGTAGGTAGATTCATCTTGGTGGGGGGTATCGTATGATCTGGAAGGGTCGGGGACTGTGAAGAATGCGGGGGAAAGAGGGATGGATTTGTATTTTGCGCCTTGGTTGGATATGGGCTTTTGTAGTTTGCGGGGAAGATGAAGCCATCTACAGACTCGCCTGATGTGGCTTTTCACGATCCAATTGGATTCCAGACATTTTCAGCGGAAGAAAAAGGGCGATACTTTTATCACTCTGTGAAGAGTTGATATTTCATGTGATAATTTAGCCTTCTTCATTGATTTTATCGTTCAGAATGCTTTGAAAACACCAGTGATATTCGGGCATTAGTCACTGTCAGTTATTGTGTCAATGCGTAATATCGAAATGATATCGCTATATTCATTCATTTTCAGCTATAAAAGAAATCAGGGCCTAGAAAATACACTAGGTCGTATATTTTAGTTTTGTCTTTCAAGGAGTTACGAATCTACCTATTTAATCGCCTCTCAATGCTTTAGATCAAGCTGCACTGCTGTATCTGAGGCTTGGGAATTGTTACACAAGACATCAGCTTTGGGCCTCCCACCAGTCCAATCTCATTGTTTTTGTCTCAGTATGCCTTGGCTGTGTTCGTTCGTCGAGGCTGTGAGGATGTAGATCTGATTGGTGTGGTTGGTTGGTGGTTCGCCCAACCAAGTAGGCATTGTTAGAGCCTGATATCCATTTTCCTTCTATTCAAGCTGGGATCACCTTGATTCTTCCTTGCCGGTTCCTTCTTTTTCTCTGTAAAGCCTTCGAATCTGAACCTAAACAAGTTATCTTTCCGAACAAGCACAACTTATCACACACGATGGAGGTCCTTGGTGCCGTCGCCAGCTCCATCGCCGTGGTGCAGGCTTTGGCAGCCGGGAAACATGCCGTTTCTCTTTTTCGAGAAATTCCGGACATTCAGAAAGAATTTGACTATCTGATGAAGGAGGTTTGTCCCTAACTTGCTGAAAAAATTTATTGTGGTTAGGCCTAACATGCGGTTCCTAGCTGGACATGATCAAATCCATGGCGCAAGCTGTCTCGAGAATGGCTCCTACAGCACTGGAACAAGATCTTATCACCACTGCAGCGCGAAAACTCAATGAGATCACCGCAGAACTCGAAGCGCTACTACGGATATGTTCTCGAGAGAGTGGCCCAGACGGGAACAAGAGGAGCAAGAAAAGGAAGAGAAAGTGGCTTGTAGAGAAAAGCGACATCAAGAAGCTTCAACAGAGGATGGGCCAATCCAAAGAAACTCTTCACTTTGCTCTGAACTCGTCTCGCGTATCCAACGATATTCGGTGAGTGTACCACACCCACCACTAGAGAGTCCACTACCAGTTCAACAACTTCAGGATGCTCATACATCAGAGTCAGATGCAGTTGTTATCGACAATGGCCATGACCGCAACCTGAAACATATGGACGACTCTGTGCCGATAAACTCTATCGTATCGACTCATAGAATAGCATCTGATTCGGCATGCCGGTACCGATGCCACTTCTCCGAGAGCCAATACCGAAGCTCTGGCTGGATGCATTCACTTCTTGGATCCTGGCTTGTACATTGTAAGAGCTCGTCTCGAAAGGATTGTTCGAATCCAGGATGTCACTGCATGGAATCCACGGCCTTGAGAATGGAATACCAAGTTCCGAAATGGTTTCTCATCAGGACATTCAAGATTTGTGCGTCTTATAGCAGCCTCTCTGGATTGTCTTGCGCCCTACGACCCTTTAGATTGATTGAAGAACTTTCTCCCCTGTGGGCTAGCCAAAAAGGCTCAGGCCAAGTAGTTAGGAGATCAGTGGCTGTGTATGGGATTTACCCCCATGATACGGATATTTGTGGCATGGGACTCATAGAGGTTGGTCGAAATTCCCAATCACTACGGAGCAGTCTGTGTGCACTGACATGAACAGTATGCTCTTGGTAAGCAACTTTACTCCTCTTTAGAGGCTCTTCTAGATATATGGAAGAACATCCTATTTGAGGATGGGTTACCCAGGTCAGTCTTTTATCATGTCGGTTGTCGAAGTTGCTGAGTTATCTGACCAATGATAGACGTGTCGCGGTTACTGCAGCTTCAATACTACGATACAGTGAACTCAACGATAAACAAACGTATCTCGTTCAAATCTTGGTCGGGATATATCTGAAGTGACAACGACCAAGGTTCACGAGGCGATCGTGCAATGTGCGAACCTGCAAGAAGCATTACAGGAGCAACCTTGGGCCATCAACACGATTGACGACACCGGCGAATCTCCCCTTTACCTTGCAACTTCTCCGAACCAAGTCAGGTCCATGGAAGTTCTCATTTCAGCAGGAGCTGATGTTAATCAACAATCGTATAGGGGATGGACACCTCTCACGGCCGCAGTCCGCGCAGAAAACGTCGAGGCTGTAAAGATGCTGCTCAAGTCTAAATCCAATGTAAATTTGTGCAATGAGGCAGACGCGACAGCATTGCATTGGGCTTCGGACACAGTCAACCCCGAGGTCATGAGCCTTTTGCTTGCGGCGGGAGCATCTTCAAAGCAGCGAGATGCCTTTGGTTACACGCCACTTCATTTGCTAGCTCACTCTGGAAACATCAGTCATCAAGATAGCGAACGAAGCAGCCATTGAGGTGCTTCTCGTGGCAGGATCTGACCTTGAAGCACTGAACAACTTCGGGGATACACCTTTTCTTCAATCAATTACTTTCAATGAATTGGAAGTCGCCAGAGGTTTGGTAAATGCAGGTTAGTTACTCTGTCAACATTTCTAATTCCCAATCTCAGAACGTGTTGCATCTTGCAGCCAATCACGCTTCACTAATATTACTTCAGTATCTTTCTATCCTAGACCTATCCGGTATCAATCCATGGCAGGAAGACTCATTTGGCGACACCCCCTTTGATTATCTCGTCATGATTTCTGGTGATCCGGACGAATGGATCCTGAGAGCTTGTCGTAGGCCAAGTCTTGCTGAGCAGATAGCTTTTGTCGAGCTTTATCAGGGCGTTCGAGATCAAGCCCTACAGAACGATCTTCAGAGTCTTGAGCGAGTCCTTAACGCATTACAAGGTCAGGACATTGCAATCGCCCGAGAACATCTACTATTATTGGCCGAAAAAGAGAAACGATGGGAGCGTGAAAATCTGGTTTCTTGGTATCGAGCTGTTGACAAGCGGATTCAGCACGCGGAATGGGGTCTAGCAGCAGAAGATTTAGAGGGTCACTTACTAGATTTGCAAGAAGAACTCGCAACTCCGGTTTGGGAGATTCCATCGAAACACGGCTACTTATGGGAATTTGATGATGGAGGATCAGTCAGTGAGGATGGATTTGAAAGTGAGGACGGATCTGAAAACTCGGATGATTCCAACCAATAGGTCGTAAGTGATGATGATGTCTAGGCCGTCTGAGAATAAAACTAGCGGCATCGATTGTTATAAAGGCAACATTCAGACAGAATAGCATCAAGGCCGATGTCAAAATGTTAAAAGATTCGTCGATACAAGCGCAGAAGAAGCGAGCAGGAGTTTTGAATCACGAAACACCGTCAAGGTTGTAAGATACTAGTTCAGACAAGTCCATTTGACAGAGGATACCATGAATTCTATCTCGAAGTCTTCCACAATCCGTCTGATCATACAGTCAGTCCCTTACATATAAATCTTGTCACAGTTGCTCACTGGCTAATCTTAAAATAAAAACTTGCTTCTATCTCTCCGAACAAATCCGACCATATGCATATCCTTGCCTTGTGACCCTTTCTTTCCATAATATGGTATCTTCCTCTCGTCGAGGCCCTTTTCCCTGGTTCTTTTCTTTTTCTAATGAGGCATGGACAAAAGAAACTGCAGCGCAAAAGCACAAATCAGCAACATCTTTCATCTCTTCTGGACTCTAGTGTTCCAAGTTCTCGAGGCTTTCTACCTCTTCTGGAATATCCTCTTGACCTTGCTTCACGCCATCTATCATGTGGTATTCCCAAACTGTGCCCAGCTGAAGACATTCGTTGACGCAGCCTTCGTCTTCCCACCACCATTTATCCCCGGTGACGAAACTGCCCCAGACTTCCATCCAAAGTAGACGACCGATGATGCTACGGACTTCTGCTTTCACTTCTCTCTCAGAAGGAATTCGGTCTATGAAAGGGTCGCTGTCGTCGGCTTGGCTCCGAATACTAGCTGATACAGCGTAGAACTTGGAGGTTGTGAGAGTACTGCCTTGGCCGCGCAGACCAGCATCACCCATCCATTCTTGGAACAGTCTACTTGGGTTCGTGCACTTGAAGTGTCGCTCGAGGTTGATCAGTAGATGCTCTTGAAGCCATGCTCGCATGCGATGTCCGAGTGTACTTGCGCAGGGCAATGGGTCGATAAGAGTGAGTTGTAGAGAACCACCGACTCTTAGACGGTTGCTGATATTCTTAAGCACACCTGGTATCTCAGGTGAAGAGCACACTGCGGGTAAAGAGAGCGAATATACGGTGGTGAATGAATGCTGGTCAATCGGGAGTGTCGAGAGCGTCATGGATGGGACCAATACCGGGTGAATGTTCGGAAGCTCTTTGTTTTGGAAAGACGCTGTTGTTAGGGAGCATACTTCTCTCGGTGAGTGAATAGCTGCAAGATAAGTTGCCGTAACTAAGGCTGTTAGCACTACGTGACTTTGGTAGTCACTGGTTCACTCACTTTCAGACTCGTATAGAGCCAGTACCCCAAGATTGTCAGACGGATTCGTGACAACGCAGGCAACACCAGCACTTTCTCTCGCCTCAATGTCCAGATGATGCAGGACAGAAAGCATCCAACGCTTCAGCTCAATGTTCAACTCTCCATGGAGCCTCTCGTCGGTGACGGCCCAGATCTCCTTGATACGTGCAAGAATCATGCTGGGACTCGAAGCCGCCATAACCTTGACTTGATCCTTGACGCTCTCGAAGTCTGTGCACGGGTTCACTTGAACCGTCTCTTCTGCATCAACGGTCATCTCGACATCCTCCTGGTTCTCCAGCATCCGGGCCTCTTCTGCTTGTCGGTCGATGTACTCCCATTCTTCGGGGGGACGCCATGAGTCAGGATCGTTGGGTCGGAAGTTGATCACGACTGGGGCTTTCGGTTCTTTGGGGAGGTTGAGACTAGGCACGAGACTGTTGGGTGACTCTGGCTGGAGTATCGGGGCAGGGAAGTTTCTGCAAAAATGTCAGTGGTTTTCTCTTTTTGGGTGAGTGATAAACAAACTTACCTATCTCCCATTGACCCCGTTGGCGTAGGGGGGTGATCGCCTTCTAGCTCAGAGCAGCCGTACACCTCTGAACACAAGTCTGGGTTCTCCACGTCAGACGGTCGAGGTTGTGAAGCTTCGTTGCACTTAACAACGTGTGAAGACGAAGCATCAGTGGAAACCGGGGTATTCGTTCTGTGTGCTCGCTCTGCCTCGAGAGAGACGTTCGACAGGTTTGCCATAAGTGCCGAGCGATGGTAGCTCCCCGAGTTTGAGCGTGACGAGTGATGACTTGGAGTCAAAAGACCCGACGGAGTCTTCTCCTTGCCCTTTGCTTGTTTGCCATTTCGAGGTCGAAGAAACCCGAAACGAGATTCTGTAGAGGATCGAGTGCTTGTGACGGAGATGGAGCGGCTGAGGATTGAGTTCTCCTGATCCTTTTCTCTCTCCTTGTTTTTCAATTCACGCTTGATTTCCTTTTTGGCGCGGTGCTCGCCGACGAGTTCGCGGTCAGGATCGACCCAGATGACGTCGAACATTTTGTTTGGTGCTCAACGATTTTATATCCTTTCCTGCGTTTGTTGTCAAGGTGGGCGATTTGTTTGTTGTTTATGAGATCGGAGTGATTCGTGGGTAGGTGTATCTATTCTAGGTGAAAGAATGATTTACAAAGTAGAATGCGTATGGGCTTCAAGAGGTTTGGAAACAAAAACCGGATGCCTTTATCTTCTATTTCTTGATATCGAAGGAGGTGGTGTTGTGAGATGAATGTGTGTGTTTTCAGAGGAGTGGGGGTGGAGACTGCGAGAAGTCGAGGAGTGAAGGTCAACGAAAGGCCGAGGACTTCAGAGAGTTACTACTAGCCTCTAATATAAGGTCAAAATTATTGTACTGGGAGAGTTGAAACTGTTGTTGACCATCAAGTGAAGTGTGCGGTTGACAGTTGCTGAGCACCCGCGTGCCAGTGTCAGGTACACCAAGTGATTGTGAGTGTCAAACGAGAACGTCGGTCCCAGTTCGGAGAAAAAGAGCCAGTGGTGAGAGTTTGTTCCATCACTGTGAGGAGTAATTCCGGGGTCCTGAAAGGTCACTTATACGCGTTTGGTAGACAGGACGATGATTAGGTGGGAGATCAAGTGATGGGATGATCAGCTCAAGGTTTACTCATGTCACTGATTCATTGGCCTAAAATAGCTCCAGAAATATCCTTACTGCAGTCAATCACTGTGGACTTCGGGGTGGATGTGTGACAGCAGAAGTTGAGACGAGTTGATATATGCAGCACGGTGTCATTGAGGGCCTCGCAGCCTGGTAAGAATGTCAGCATCAAGTCATGTGGGCAATGCTAATCGCCCCTGATTAATAATATCATATTCTCTGCCTGTATTTGATTGATATACCAGATGTCGACTGGTTTCACAAAAAGACCACATGACTTTCAGCCAGCTCTCTGTGTAAGTGAAAAGGGGAGACTTTCAGTGCATTAGATATCAACCAATGATCAGCAACATCCCAAGGCATTGACCAGAGAACCTACGATACGATATGGTAAAAAAAAACATGTTCTTTCATGTTCGAATGTGCGTATCGACCATAAACACATGAGTGTACCCCTTTCGCCCAACAGTTCTCGGCCTGCATTCCACGCCGATAGAACACCAGCAAGAGCCAGTTCATTTCGGCTACAGACATACCGGGCATTGTCCTACATCTGTATCAGCCAACCACGTCTTTTGTCACCATTCACACCCGACGCCTTCTCGCTTCGCGAACGTCGGCGAGCTGCATGTGGTAGGACGAACACCTGGTCTGTACGACACTGAACCCGTGTCCTTAGGGGTCGGTACCAGGAACTCAGTGGTGGAAACGGGATCCTCCTGGATCATGATCTCATTGAAGAATACCCTTTTCTGGTGAGCTCAGGGGTGGGATATGTGTGGTAGGTGAATCAACTCGGACTGTTGGCCATGTTCAGGTATCCAATGGCTCCTGTCGAGATGGATTTTATTTCATCTATATCTTAGTTATCAGTTCAGTATAAGTATACATCCTCGCAGGTCAAATTCCTTTCTTAATCACTGTTCATCCTAGACTTGCCAATAATGAGGCCCGTTTGCCAGCATGCTCACTTATCACAACGCCTCAAACACATCACCTCGACAATAGGCTCGGACAAAGAGCCAAGTCCCAAAATCTGGGTCCGGTCTTTGAGCCAAGGTAACTAATATTACACAGACGGCCCGTGGAAACAATGCCCTCCCCTTTGACCAAGGCAAACATTCTCAACGCTGTGTACACATAAAGGTACCCAAAACCACCCACAGCCTTATAGATCTTGCTTGTTCACTTTCGTTCTTGTTCTTTCTGGGCTTATGCTGTGTCTGTCCGTCTGTCTGTCTGTACGTGTGCGTGCATGTGCGTGTGCGTGCATCTTGCGCAACTCGCAACTTGGACTCGAACTTCGAGTCTTGTGATGCATGCCCGTTAATTCGGTAACTTAACCTGGCGAGAGAGTACTCAACTTATCTTATCGGGCTCGAGGTGTAGATACTGACTGACGTCGAGGTTGTTGGCAGTGCGAGACGGCTGCCAGTGTCTGCCAGTTGCAGTTCTTGACGCCAGAAACTGAGAGCCTCTGTTTGCTTTTCTCTGATATAATCTAATCTTCTACTTCTTCATTCAACTTTGCCGCAAGACAGAATCTCTCTTCCTCATTTCTTCTGGTGTCACCTCCTCCTCTTCACAGCATTTATCGACGCCACAACCAACCTCACTCTCTTCCTCTCCTTCTGACATTTTTCCTTCACTTAATTCTTCACTTAATCAGTCCCCCTCTATTCCTTTTCTCCTCCAATTCTTCCCACTCCATCTTCACATCGTCAAAGCAAACACCACAAAACGCACATTGCCTTCAAGATGGAAACCTCGCCAGGGCAGCAAGGCGTTACGCCTACTCCAAACCAAGAAGATGTCGACCTTGCTCAACATCTTGGCCGCTCTCGATACTTTGGTCTTCGTGACTTTTTTGATCGTGTTGACCACTATGTCACCACTTCAGCCTTTGGGTACTTCTTCACCCTCAGTGGTACTGGACACGTATGATGCGCTCTCTCTCTCTCTCTCTCTCTCTCTCTCTATCTATCTATCTATCTATGTTGAGAATAGTCTAAGCTGATGACTTTGTAGCCTCAAGAGATTGCTGGAGCGACCTTCTTTCGAGAAGTTCGCGCTGGTATCACAACTTTTGCGACTATGGCGTACATTATCGCGGTAAACGTATGAGTTCTCGATCCTCTTTTGCCGCAGTTCAGTTGGCTGACGATAGATAGGCTGCTCTGCTCGCTCAGTCTGGCGGGACTTGTGTATGTGACTTGACGGATAGACACGCTTGTGACAAGATTGATTCATATGTTGCTTGCAAAGAAGGTGAGTAAAGACACACCGATTATGGGGAGATAGATCCTGACTGTGCAATAGACATTCGACGAGATATCGTCACTGCTACAGCTGCAGTCTCCGGCCTGGCAAGCTTCATGTTCGGCTTCCTGACCAACCTCCCTGTTGCCCTGGCGTAAGTCTCTCGCCTCCTTACACTGCCTATAATATGATGCTGATTCCTAATAGCCCCGGTATGGGCCTCAATGCGTACTTCACCTTCCAAGTTGTCGGATACAACGGAAGCGGCCCCATCTCTTATCGTCTCGCACTTACAGCTGTCTTCGTCGAAGGCCTTATCTTCATCTTCCTTGCTCTCACGGGTATGCGTCAGTGGCTCGTTAAGCTTATACCTTCTACCATCAAGACTGCCACGGGGGTTGGTATCGGCTTCTTCCTCACTGAAATCGGTCTCTCGTACTCTGCTGGTATTGGCGCTATCACCGGCGGTGGAAAGGCTACTCCTCTTGCGCTTGGAGGCTGTCCCCAGGAACTACTTGATGAGGTGACTGGCATGTGCACAGAAGGGCAGATGTCGAGTCCCAAGGTAAGTCGGCTGACCTCCGTTGAGATTCGTGTGCTTATTCGGGTACCTTAGTTATGGGTTGCTGTCTTTTGCGGTGGTATCGTCACTGCCTTTCTCATGGCGTTCCGCGTCAAGTACGCCCTCATCCTCGGCATTGCTCTCGTTTCTGTTCTGTCATGGCCGTATGTTCTCCCCCTATACCCTCTACTCTCATCTAACATTCTCACAGTCGCAACACTCCCATCACGTACTTTCCGCACACTGACGAAGGAGACTCCCGTTTTGACTTCTTCAGTCAAGTTGTTATGTGGCACCCGATCCAAAGAACTCTTAACCAACTCGACTGGTCCTTTGGTGGTTCAGCATCTCAATTCGCCCTCGCCCTCTTCACCTTCCTTTACGTCGACATCATCGATGCTACCGCTACTCTCTACTCCATGGTTCGATTTTGTGGTGTTGTGAACCCTCGCGACGGTGACTTTCCTCGCTCAACTCTTGCGTATTGCACTGATGCTTTCTTCATCTCGGTCGGTGCTTTGCTGGGCAGTTCGCCTGTTACCGCTTTCATCGAGAGTGGTGCTGGCATCGCTGAAGGTGGAAGAACTGGTTTGACTGCCATGACCACTGGGCTATGCTTTACCGCTGCTGTGTTCTTTGCGCCCATCTTTGCCTCTGTACCACCTTGGGCAACTGGTTGCACTCTGATTCTAGTAAGTCTTGTTCATTCTTTAGGCAGTAGATCACAGCTAATAGCAGGTGTAGGTCGGCTGCATGATGATCCGTCAAATCACCCAGATCAACTGGCGATATATCGGCGACGTCCTGCCCTCTTTCGTCGTCATGACATTTATCCCTTTCAGCTACAGTGTAGCCTATGGTCTCATTGCGTAAGTCTCCCATCTCCTCCTATATATACTCATTAATAGTCCTTAGCGGTGTTTTCGTCTACGCAGTCCTCAACGGTCTCGTCGGCCTCGTTGTCTGGGTTACACGTGGCTATGTTGAGCCTCGCGAGTACGATCTCAAGGAATACTGGACCTGGAGGGGTTCAGGTCGCGCTCCTTGGTTCATTCGCGCCATTCGCCACAATCGAAACACTGGCCAGGAGAATGATGAAGACCAGCCAGGTGATTCTGGTCATGCCATGAGAGATCTTGACTACGACAATCGTCGTGAGAACAGCAGCTCCAGGACTGCTTCCAGCGGCAAAGACGATCAGCCTATGTCACCCTCCAATGAACGATGGGAGCGTTGACTGAACAACGAATAACTTTGACGCGTGACACTTTCTATTCTCTGTATCGATCAATTTCTGAGAGCTGGTGCCTCATTTTGGAATTGTGGGACAATGTTTGCTTCTGGATGATGACAGTTGAAAGGGTCAGTATCGCCCTCAGAGCAGTATATAGTAGTAGCCTGTGCACCCTGGTATGGGCGATACCAGAGGAAGGGGGATGGAGGGGAACTGCCGATAGGGGGGCCAAGATACTGAAATGTCAAATGTGATGTAGTAACGTATACAAGCAATTATGAACCACGAATATCGTTATGCCGCAAATTACAAGCGGACTGGGTAGCGATGCAACAAGAGATTTCGCTCTCTCTATATGTCGTCTATCAAGAACCATCGGCTCTGAGTATTGTAGACCTGGTATCATGGAACGTCTGTCTAAATATTCAGTCACAGAACCTGGTATCTCCCTCCACCATGGCCTTCATCAAGTATTTCAAGCTCCCATATCAACATCACCATCACCGTCGCCACCTCCAGCTCGACCTCTAATAGCCTGCTCTGCATTCTTCCTCCTTTCTAGGCTCTCCTTCACCCACTTCTCACAGGCAGCGTCGCCACCCTCGGCGATCTTACTGCGCACAACGCCCTTCATCACCTCACCCGCAAAGCCCACGAAGTTATGTCTTCGCAGAGCATTCTCAAACATCCAATCTCGTCGCTTGCGCTCTTCTCTTGCCAACAGCTCCTCGTCCCCGAAGTCGCGCGCACGCTGTCGTAGATCTCGGCACATGGCGAGGAGGTTGAATCTAATCTCGGCGGTATCATATCGTGCAATGCGACGTTGGAGAACGTCGACTACCTTGGTGGGGAAGTCCTCAGAGCTGCAAGCACCGTGGGAGATGGGCGCCGGTTGCAAGCCATCGAGCTCATAGAGTGTACCGTTGATAGGTGTGTAAGCAATAAAATGGAAAGCATCTTCCGCCTCAGCGCCAGTCTTGTCTGTCTCGTCGGCAAAAGGGCTGCTGCGAGCAAAGCTGTTGTGCACCTCACGGATGAGGTCAGAGTTGCTCAGCGCCTCACCGCGGAACTCGGGTGGCAACACCATGGTAAACTCTCTGAAGTCGCCGAGCTTCTCGCCTATTTCAACATCATTCGTCTTGTTGAGGAGTACACTCAACAGAGCTTGTGTTGCGCATGCATTCTGAATCGTCTGGGCAGCGAAGAAGATGTTTTCGGATGCGGCATTGTCGAACGAGCCGTCGCGGGGTCCTTCGGGTGTCGCATATGGTTGATCAGTCGGGTACTTGAAGAGAAAGATCACGCCGTATACGGGCTGTAAGGACAGAAGCTCAGATGGGTCGAGTGTGAGGAGTTCTTCGAATTGTACGTCTTTGACGCCGAGATTCTCGATAAGAGAGGTAAAGACACCCTGACAGCTTCAAATTAGTTCCCCAATCTCAACTGCTCGCAAGCATAACTCAGTCATACCGCATCGGACTCAACTGTAGAATTTCAAGTCAGTCTATCAGTCGAGATCATGTACGGAGCAGGAAACTAACTGGTATTCCATCCGCCACTCATTGTTGCGACAAGTCCGGCGTCTCCCAGCAACTCCAGCTAGAACTAGAGGTTATGAGTAAGGTATTAGAACGAATTAAAATGAATGTAGTCGCTCAAAGTGTATGCAACTTAATTGATAGAGTGCGGACGTTTCCCAGGTACGTGAAGTTGTTTTGGAGAGGGAATGAAAAGTAGGAGCTCTTCAAATGCAAACAGCTGAGCCTGGAGCCACACGACACTGATATCATCTGTTGCTGATAAGATAAGAAAAGCCAAAGGCAGCAACAAGCTACGACATCATTTCGAGGTAGTTACACTAAAAGTATTCCTGGCAGTCCATCCTCAGGCATTACATACACTCCAGTTCTTTGCCTTGACTACTAGGCAGGTACTTGATCTTGAAATTAGGTAGGTAATGTCTCTAAAACTTCCAATATGACCACACTTACAAGGCCAGTAGTTGACATGTAACTAGGTACTAACCTAGGTTGGTAACTCTCAACTTGAGGATGCAATGCCTGTTTTTCTTCATACCTCCACACTCAAATTCCACATCAAATCTATAGGCAATGCGTCCTTCTCACCTTCAAGTATCAGCAAATCTTTTCGAAAACTGTCAAATCATCGCTTCCTAATAACAGAAAGGCCTGGGCTCAACTTTATTCTGTGGTGAATCTCTTCGCTGATAGAAGAAATGCAAGAAATAAGAAGAAAACTGGACTAAGCCAGATTCCCTAGGTACGAAGAAAACACCGCCAACTCCAGTATGTTTCACCTCGTTCCAATACCTGTCATATGCAGCGTTGGTCTTAACTTTTCCACTCATCCCGCATCTCACTTCAACACATTTCAACCAATTAAATTATCATCGTAAGGGACAACGCTACAATTCAATAAGCTCTTCCCTGGCTGGCTCGCTTCGCCGGTCATCATCCTGAACTCCTCCTTGCTCCGCCTGTGCTTCAACGTTGTGCTCTGTGCCAGTGCTGGTGGTCGCCTCTTCAGCAAGATTCTCGGCTTGGTCCTGGTTCTCATGGCTCTCTTCATTTTGAGCTGCCGCAGCTGCCGCCGCAGCTTCAGCCTCTCTCACCTCGGCTTCTCGGCGCTCTCTCTCCGCTCGTGCAGCTGCTTCCAGATTGGCTATATGCCTTTCTGCAACACCCGGTGCGATGCTGGCCAGAAACAAGAGGCCGGCCCTCTCCACGCGTCTGACTTGTGATAACAGCCAACTCTCAGGACCTTGGTGTTGAGCTATAAGTCGACGTGCCATTTCAGTAGGATCTGGGTTTTGTCCAGGCTGCTGATTCTGCTGGTCTTCTCCGGCGATAGCTTGGTGGCGTCTGGGCTCAGCGGGAATCAGGTTTTCAAGGTGTCGTCCCAAAGGCTGCCAAACGTGGTCAGGAACGCCGTTAAATATTCCAGTACTAAGCAAAAAGATGAGCACCGCAATCACAATGATGGTGAACCATCTGGACCAGCTTGCGTTGGGGGAAGTGAAGAACCAGACAAACAGAACCAGCCGGAACAGTAGCCAGATTTGCGGCCAGAGCTGCATAAGGAGAGGCGGAAGCGCAGCCATAGGTGGGTTTCCCCGATGCATCAGGGGAGCCATAATCGCCCCAGGGTCCGGTTCCTGCGCCTGATTTTGGCCCTGGGCTTGGGCAGGGTATGCGGGTTGCTGCTGCGGCGCAGGGTTCTGAGCTTGCTGCTGAAAAGGCTGAAGGGGTTGTAGATTCAGAGGTCGTCCTTGTGCCTGGAGCTGAGGTATCGGCTGCGGCGCGATCTGGGAACGGGGATGGTGGTGGTGGTGATGATGAGGGTGGTGGTGGTGGTGGTGGTGGTGTCTCGCTCGCACTTGACTCTGAGCATCCAGAGCGGCACTACTGAGAGCAGCGACTTGTCGAAGGTGAGGTAGACTCGTCTGAGTTCGCAACCGTGGGGTGATATACGTTTCAGAACTAGTGTTATTCAAAAGTAAGGCTCTGGGTCCCTCGGGAGACGAGAGAATATACACCTCAGGCCCATGCCTTGTCTGCGAAATTCCGGGAGCTGCAGTGGTATTGAGTCGATTGAGAGACGAATCAGGGGTTCCACGACCACTGCCGGTCATGGGCTGAGACATGGGCCACATGGGCGCCGTCAGACCATGTTGAGGTCGGTTGTGAAGAGATGTGCTCGAAGCGCTTCGTTGCATTGCGCTGGCCATTGCCGACGTAGCTTGGTTGATATCAGCGTTTCGAAAAAAATTCTGTACATCAGCGGGAGACATTGAGCCGCTAGCACCACCAGTGCTCTGTTGTCCAGGTACCATAGTCCGAATCACAGTCTCGAATTGATAGGTGCTCCCGTTTGGTCCGACGTGCTCACGGTAAACGGTATGGCCTGGAGCTGGGCTTGCTCGGCCACTATTGTTTCCACCAGTGTTTCCAGTGTTGTTGGGGTCACCAACGCCGCGCATCCCCATTTGAGCTCTCGTTCGTTGGTTCTGGTTGAGAGCTCTAGCCATGGCTTCTCGTTGGATGCTGTTCAACCACTGTGTCATGTTCTGATGTTGGTGCTGAAAAGCGGCCGCTTGTTCGGGGGTGTGCGAAGGCGAAGGGGACGGCATGCGTGGTTGAGGAAACGGGTTGGAAGTCGGGGGCATCGAGTTCCGCCAACCTGGCGGCATCTGGTATCCAAAGGCTTGGCCGGGAGCTTGCTGAGGCTGAGGGTGTGTCGGTGGTGCGGAAGCGGTTGGACTCGGACCTCGCGCAGGTGCAGGTGCAGGTGCAGGAACAGGAGCGGCGAGGGACGGTGGCGCAGAGGGCGCATTGGGGGCTGAAGATGGGCCGTCGGTCATGTCGCGAAGAACAAGGTGAATCGTTTGCTGTTCAGCAGTGCGAACCTGTAGGCATGACAAGTCGTCGGGTTAGTATGTTGCAACTCTTTGGACAGATCACCGTTCAGGAGTCACGTACCGCATCAGCGCCGAAGATATCGACTAGTGTATCCGCTTCACGGACGAGTGCGTGTCCCCTATGAATCAATCGCTGATGATCGTCGGCGGGCCGCAAGGGAAGAGTCTGGCGAATTTTATCCTTGAGCTGTTTAATCGTAGTATTTGCTGCAAGGTTAGGAAAAAGCAGTGGCCGATTCACACCAACAGACGGTGACAGGACCTGCAGGTTGACAGTCTGTTCGTCGGTCGTCGCAGTAGAGGCGGCGGAAGGTCCATCTTCTTGATGACAAGTAGCAGAAGGCATGGAAGCCATGATGATCAAGCTGATAGCATGCCACTCCCAGGTAGGCAGGTGAACTAAGGGAGGATGAAGTGGTCCGAAGTATGGGGATCAAGGAATGGCGACGAAGAATAAAGGACAGGTCGGGTCGTCGTCGATGAAGTTGTGATTCAGGAACATATATCGGTAATCGACAGGGTTTCGCTCCTCCCTAATCGTGGCTTCGATCTACGAGAGCTCGCGTGTTGAAAGAAAGCACCGGCTCGTTAACTGACGTCGGTTGTGTCGTCTTACTAACACTAAAAGGGTCGCATGTCCAAGGGAGTCTGACGACGGATGATACAGAAAGGGATGACAAAATGCGACGGCTAGCAGCAGCACGAATATGTGCTAGAATATATTGCTGTGATTCGCTGTGGAAATACGGTTTGGTGAAATGAGGGCGCAGAAGGTTTTGATAGTTGTGGTTGATTACTATGTAACAATCAAGACACGGAAGACAATATGGTTAGGGTGGCCTTTTGCCTTTTGGGGCCATATTCAGGTAAGCTCAGGCACACACTCACCTTAGCCTGCGACAATGGGGAACGGCCAGGGCAGTGACAGCCCGCTATTGCGGTGTCGGTCTGTTGAGATCAGGTCCTTACAGTGCTGGTGTTGATTGGCTAGTGTCCTGAGACCCCTGTTCAACCCACACTCTTCTCTTCAAGGGGCGCCATCGCTCGGCGGTCGGCGTCTTTTGCTTCCGAGAGCTGTCCCGAGAAGCTGTGTGTCTTGGCTGTGTGCGGCTAACAAGCTCGAGCAGCCGCAATCCATCGTCATCGTTGGGTTTGACGTCAACATCCATCGAAAACAAGGGTCCAGTCCTCTTTGAGAGGCTTCAGCTACCTCTCTTCTTCCCAGCAACTCTACGCAATTGCATAAAAGTTAAGGAGGCAGCGTTCAATCGCTGTCAGTCTCTACTGCCCGCTATGGCTCCGACCCTTGGCCTTGGGCCTGGCTCCTCCAAGCTCGGTAGTCACATGCTCCGCAACTCATTCTACACCCACGGCCGTTGGACAAATTGTTACTCGCCATCTGCCTCGCGACACATGTTTCTGGCCTCCACGAGATCGCGATGCCTATCACGGCCTTCGGTCTCTTCCATTCGAACCTTCGCCTCCAATTCGGGCAAGAGACCAAGATTTTCCCAGCGCCTCGGCGAGGCCATGCGAAACACCAAAATTCAATGGTACCGGATCCCTGTCGGTCTAGGTATTGGTTTCCTCGGCCTCGTCCAGTTTTATAAGGTCTCTTCCCGTGAGAAGGAGAGACTAGAGAATGAAGATGGACAGGAGGGTTCCAAGGCACCTAAGAAGCGCCCCAGGATCCGACCTGATGGTCCATGGTATGTTGCCTTGATTGTTCATGCCCCTATTCCCATCAATGCTAACTCAATCAATCCCAGGCAAGTCCAGGTCATGTCAACTCTACCCCTAAAGGCTATCTCTAGACTTTGGGGACGATTCAATGAACTTACTATTCCTTACTATCTTCGAATTCCTGGTTTCAAGCTTTATTCTTGGGTCTTTGGTGTCAAGTCTGTACCCTCAACTCAACGCTCGAAATCCTTTTGCTAACGATAGCAGCCTCGACGAAGTCGCCGAACCCGATCTCCACGTCTATCCCAACCTTGCATCCTTCTTCTACCGTACGCTCAAGCCCGGTGCTCGACCACTTGATCAGGATCCCCATACTCTCATCTGCCCTTCCGATGGAAAAGTACTTCAGTTTGGCCAGATTCAAGGCAATGACATTGAGCAAGTTAAGGGTATGACTTACACTATCGATGCTCTCCTTGGAAAGAATACTCCTGCTCCAAGCATCTCTGGCGCTTCTGGTACTTCAACTCCTGCAACAAGTCAAGGCGACGTCTCAGAGGAGGAGTCGCTCGTTAAGCAACATGAGGAGTTTGCTCAAGTCAATGGCATTTCATACAGTCTTCCCGATCTTCTCACCGGCACTGGAAAACAGGCTCCTTCGGCAAAGGACGAGTCTATGCCCGCGTCTCCTGGTACAGTCTCTGAGGTCCGTGCCGAACTCGCTCTTGGTGAGCGACCTTGGTACGATCTCATATCTCCCGACAATACTACATCGCTTTACTATGCCGTTATCTACTTGGCTCCCGGCGACTACCACCGCTTTCACTCTCCCACGAATTGGGTTGTTGACCGCCGACGCCACTTTGCAGGAGAACTCTATAGCGTGTCCCCATACCTTCAGCGAACCCTCCCTGGTCTTTTCACACTCAACGAGCGCGTGGTACTTTTAGGCCGTTGGCGCTGGGGCTTCTTCAGTTATGTGCCAGTCGGTGCCACCAATGTCGGCTCCATTGTGATCAACTTTGATAAGGAACTCCGAACCAATAGTCTGCTGACTGATACGGCAGCAGACCGTGCAGCAGAGGAAGCTGCCCGTAGGGGTGAAGTGTACCATGGATTTGCTGAAGCCACATATGAAGCAGCCAGCCCTGTCCTGCGGGGTCATGCGCTACGACGCGGTGAAGAAATGGGTGGTTTCCAGTTGGGTAGCACCATCGTACTCGTTTTCGAGGCACCTTTAAGCAAAACAGATGAGGACAATAGACATGTCGGCTGGGAGTGGGCTGTACAGAAGGGACAGAAGGTGAAAATGGGACAAGCTCTGGGACGGGTCATTGAGTGAGGTACAGTACGGCGGTGCAGAGCCAAGACGAAGCGAGTTAAGCGTTTGGATAATTAAAGATATATATAATTGTATACTACTATATATGATGTCACGTTTTATGAAGAATATCTCAAAATTCACTTTGGTATCATTAGCTATAAAAAGATTATCGCTAGAACGTAGTATGATTTGGGCTGGGTCGCAGTTGGTACATGCATAGTCAACATGGATATTCAAGTGTCGGTCAGAGGACAAGGGCATCGTCAATGCAAGTGCTTAGGGTATGATTGATAATTTTGTCTATTGAAGGAAAACAAGAGCTCAGGGCTCCATGTTCTAATTGCAACTCGCTAAAAATGCAGGTTTCTATGCCAATTCTAGTTGACGTTTCTCATGCTTTCATAAAGTTATTTTAAGCGCCAAAGACCTTGACACGCTCCTCGAGAGGAGCATAGTCCTTGGGGGCAGCCTCAGCGGTCTTGGCTCCGAAGACAAGCTGGGCGTTGAGAGTCCAGGTAGAGGGGATCTTCCAGGTCTCAGCAACCTTCTCATCGATCAGGGGGTTGTAGTGCTGGAGGTTGGCACCGAGACCCTCAGCCTCGAGAGCGGTCCAGAGGAGGTACTGCTGGATGCCAGCAGACTGAACGGCCCAGGGAGGGAAGCGATCAGCGTAGATAGCGAACTTGGTCTGCATGGCCTCGACGGCAGCGTTGTCGACGTAGAAGAGGACAGTTCCGGCGGCGGCCTTGAAGCCGGAGATGCGCTTAGAGGTGCCCTCCCATGTCTCAGCGGGGACGATGGCCTTGAGGGTATCGGCAGTGATGTCCCAGAGCTTGTCGTGCTCAGCGCCGTAGAGGACAACGACACGGTTGGACTGGGAGTTGAAGGATGAGGGGGTCTCGAGAGTGGTTTGGTTGACGATCTCGGTGATGCGCTGGGTGGAGATGGGGAGGTTCTTGGAGAGAGTGTAGATGGAGCGGCGGTTCTTGGCCAGCTCGATGAGGGCGTTGGCGGAGAGTTTAGCGGCCATTGTGAATAGTTTGTAGGTGTTGGTTTGTAGGTGTAAGTGGTGTAAGTGATATTTGAGCTGAGAGACTGACTGATGATGAACTGGATGGACAGACAAGACAACACGGGGAAACAGCTAGAATATATATAACAATGGAAAACCCTCAATCAGTTGCCGACCACTGTATCAAAGCAACGGCCCCGCCATATCATATCGACCCCTCCTCCCCATTATCCCATCCGTAAAGAGCAGAAACACATCAGACCCTGCCAACTTTTCGCAATCGCCAAGCTCCACTGACTAATGCGACTAATGCGGTGCCAGGATTGCATCAGTGAAGGGAAGGGTTCGGTTCTGTGCCTGTCTAATCAGTTTGTCAGCCACCCACTAACAATTTCTTCTCGCGCGCGCTAGACTTGGATATCCTTCCGAGCGATTCCATCCGGATATACAAAAAGTAGATGAGGTTAGCGTCGTTCAGAAGTTGCCTTGTAGCCACGATTGAATTGGGCTTCATTCATTTCTCGGATGATGAAGGGGAAAGATCATTCAATTAATTACCATAATAGCATCACTGCGACTAATGGTGTCTCCAATCAGCAGTCTTGAACTTGAATATTTCCCCGACGCCGTAGTCGCTTTCAATGTCGAGTCTGGTAGCATGAAGTGGTGGAGCTATACAGAAACTCGGATATATCAATCGGAACAAGACTTTTACAATTCCGATGACAAACGTAACCAGCCATCCCATCTAGTTACACACGACACACTGGACAGCCCTGGCAGCTTGATAATTCCATGTAAGCAAAGCATCAGCTAGATACTGAGTATTCAGCTGCCGTATCCTCTGAATCGATATCTCCACTCGCAAAATCTACTTCGGGCGAGTCAATCACTGACTGAGATGTACTGTTCCAAAATTGTCTCATTTGATTAATCGTGAGACTCGAGTACACTCGGAGACTTTCTCAACTCACTCTTGACCGCTCGTGATTTACAATACGCGCGCGCGCGAGATTGATAATGCATCCGGGCGCATGGTATGAAGATCCGCTGACATACCTACCTAAGGTAGGTAACCATAGGTATTCCTCTTCTACAGCAGACGAACCCATGATGCATATTGGAGCTCCCGCTTAGACTGGATGCCGAACCCATCTGCCCTATCATATCTCACCAGATGCCAAAAAAGGAAATCTGACAACGGGAGGCTCACGTTTGACAGGTCTTCTGTTGGTGAGATTTTAATCACTTGCTTGCATAAGTACCTTGCCAAGGGGAATGATCCTTGATTGTTCTAGGTGCAAGGCACATTGCACCTGGTAAAAAGCCTTGGGAAATCAGCTGAATACACCAGACCCCAAGACTTAGAATGAAAGTAAATCATACAGTCACCGCCGTCACTGGAACTCTAGTAGAACAATATTTCTTAATATTTGTAAATTCATTTCTCGGCGAGGATAGAGCAAGCTCTTTGTCAATCCTATCCCGTCCAGACCGCTGCCGAGGGTATTTTTGTAGAAGAAATAGTAGCACTATGCAAAATGCCACCCTATACTTTAAACTCCGATAACGCCGTTACCATGCCCAGCCCAATGCTCCTCTTGTCTCGAATCAGATAATGCCATATGCCACCCTTCTTTCACGGCCATCCAGCTTGCGCAGGCTTGCAACTTTTCCTATCTTGTTACAATGATCTCCATGATTCCTCTTCAGTATAAACCAGACGTCATCCAAAACTTCCCAATTAACTGACTGGAATAAATTCGCAGGCCAGAACATCTACCATGTCTCGGAGATGTACTTCCCCTCTTCCTTCTTGAGCTTCCAGAAGTTGCGGGCCTCCTCGCGCTCGAGGTTGCCCTTCTCCATGGCCACATCACAAAGAGCCTCTTCGACACCTTCGCCCATACCCTTGCTGCTTCCGCACACAAAGATACGGCCATCCAGAGAATTGATGATGTACCAGACCAGATCAGACTGATTCATAACCTCTTCCTGAACATACTTGCCGGTACCCACTCGACTCTGGACAACACGCTTCACCTCCTCCTCATGAACACCCCACTCGCCACTGTAGATCTCATCTACCAGCGAGTCTCGGATTCCTTGGAGGACCCAGACCTTATTGGCACAGTTGGCCTGCTTGAGGCGACGCTGGACGAAGCCACGGAAAGGAGCAATACCAACACCAGCACCAATTAGGAGCATAGGACCATCCGAGTTGAATTGCTTAGCCAGAGGGTTGGCCATCAGACCCTTGAACATGGGAATGAAGATCTGAGGGGCACGTTCACCGGCAGCCTGAGCTCTCATGAACTTGTGAGCCTGTCGCTCAAAGAATCCAGAGCCAACACCAGCACGACAGCCACGTCGCCAATCCATAGAGTCGTGAACTGTGACGGCGATCTCGATCAGGCGGCGCTGAGCGTGTTCTCGGAGAGTGTATGATTCCGTGGGATCGTTGGAGAGAGAGTAGAATCGTGGCATGAGCTGAGCTTGGACGGACAGGAGCTGATTCATAGGAGGATGAGAGCTGGGGAACGCGTTGAGAATCTGTGAGAGGGTGACGTGAGGGCCACCACGAAAGTCGGAGAAAATGCTAGCACCCTCGTTGGAACAGAGATACATAAGAATCTTCTTCTCGTTGGGGGCAGTGGCGTGCTCCGCAATGACACGGAGGAGCTCCTTGGTAGGGGCATAAGACTGAATATCGGTGGTCCATGTGAGGAGCTCGCGACGTGTGGTAATGAGCTCACGAGGCTTGTCATCACCCCACACGGTAGGCCAGCGGCCCTTGGTGGTCTTCATGAGGACAGGCTTATCACGCTGGAAGCGTGGGATCATGAGGGCATCCAGAATCTCATCGACCGAAATTTCATCGTTGGGAGCCATAACACCAATGGCACCACCAACCTTGAAGTCAAAAACCTCCTCAGGAGGGTAGTCGGTAATATCGAGGTCAAAGTGGAAGGTTCTCTTCTCGGCGCCGGGCTTGGTGAGCTCGCGAGTGTTGTGGATCCTGGCCGGGTAGACATTGTGGGGAGGATGAGGTTGAACAAAGCGAGGGGGCTGAATTGAGGTGTCGACACCCTCATATCCAGGTCCAGGAACGAGATAATTGCTCTTCGGAATGGTGGCTGTGGGCGAAGGCTCAGAGTCGGAGCCGAGAGAGATGGCCGAGTCGGATGGTGAGGAAGTTGGCCGAGGAATCGAGGTGAAAGACACAATTTGCTCAGGCATATCGATGATGCCAGTCAAGTTGGCGGGGATATTTTCAAGCCTTAGACCGAGAGACTTGAAAGCATCGTTATCAGGTAGAGTAACTTGCTCATACTCGACATTATTTCGGTCACCCATGCAGCAAGCACCACCACAGCAGCGATCCATATATTCAGCTGGTGTCTCACCAGTGATTCGCTGAATGTCTCTGGCATTCTGGGCAATCAGACGTGTAGATGCGCGACGGCGGCGCTCGAGGGGGATGACAGGCTCATCTTCTTGAGAGTCAGAATCGTCCGAGTAAGTCAATGAGGGCGCAATTGAAGGGGCACCCTCAGCCATGATCAGTTCGGGATGAGGTGGAGCGGCGGGGTTGACGATGCCGTCAATTCGAATAGCAGGAGCAGTCATGATGGGCCAAAATTGTGTTTGAGCCACCCGCTGAAAGTTGAGTAGGGTCGAGTGTAGGTGTTGTTGGATTGCTCTTCGCAGCGAGTAAATCGTGACGGTTTGTGTGGTGAGTTGTGTGGTATGATATGGTTCGAAAGCGACGTCAGGACGCAAAGAGCATGACGGTCCAGCAACAGGGATGCAAGTACGTGCTGTCGTCTAATAGGTAGGGTATAGATTGTAGGATGAGTAGACTTCAAGCTGCAGCAGAATCGATTGAGAAGATACTGCTAGAATGAAGAAGCTTTGCTGGTGTGGTTAAAGGAAGAAGCTGAGGAAAGCTGGAGGGGGCAAAAGACTCAAATAGTAAGTAGTGGCCGACAGCGGGAGGTTTTAA